ACGGGCGATTAGGTCAAGGGTTCCTAATGTAAAAGCATCAGGGGTGGCTTCTGGGGGTTTGAGAGTCCTTGGCTAATACTCCTAATCAATCCTGAGTAGACCTTTAAAGCCGGCTCATCATGGCTTCAAAGGGTCTAAGATCCAAAAGATCCTCAGGGCAGAGGCCCCCAGGGCCCGACCAGGAGATGAGAGTGGTTCTGCCCAAGGTCCCAGAAAGAGAGGACAAAAGCTGTCATGTCAGGTGTGAAGAGGAGCTTTGGGGCAGCCTGTGGCACACTTGGACCCCAGAGCCTGGCTGCAGGAGTTCTGTCACTTACAAGGGGCAGGACCTTCAGCCATTTCCCCTGTCTGTCATCAGTCTGTAAAGTGGGGGTGCATAGCATCTCCCTTCCTCATACAGGGTGGCCCCATTCACACGTATGATCTCTGGAATGGTGCCTGGCACCTTGTGCTAGCTGGGATCATAGGGTGGATGGGATGGGCAGGCAACTTCACCTGCCTTTCCTTACTTAGCCAGCACTGAAGGAATTTGGGAAATGTCCCCTTTCTGGGTCCAGTTCCTGTTGTGTCAAGGGAGGCTCCCAGGGACCTAGCAGGTTTCAGTTGTCAGTTTGACATGTGTCCACTCTCCTGTCTCACATAGTGGGACATTTCTGAACTGGCCCTTCAGGCCTGGACCAGCAACTCCTGAATTTTCCTAGCACCTGCTTAGACCAGAGAGGAGGGTGGAACAGCAAAAGAGGCTCAGAACGGATGGAAGATTAGACAAAAGGAGGGGGTCTCACTAACCCTGTAGTCGGTTCTTAGTGTGGTCCAGGTTGGGGAAGGATGTCAGGAGCCAATCAAGGGGCAGAAGCCTTAACGACGAGTCCAGGGCAGGTATATCAGTTCTGACCCTCCTCACTGGGAACTGGGGCATGTGCTGAGGGTAGGCAAGGGAAGGGGTGCGGAATGGAACTCATCTCCAGCAACAGGATAGGCCGAAATGACTTCATCAGCATGTGTAACAGCTGTATATATCTCTGAAAACAAAGGCAGGGACTGGTCTTTGGGTTTTTATTGTCTTATTGGTAGTGGTCCCTTTGTGTCTGTCTATAATGGCCATGGATTACTTTCTTGTTTGTTTATTTGTTTGAGATGGTCTCCCTGTAACCCCAGCTGGCCTGGAACTGTCTATGCAGACCAGACTGGCCTCAATCTCACAGAGATCTGCCTCCCTCTGCTTCCAGAGTGCTGAGATTAAAGGTATGCACTACCATGCCTGGTTATATATATATTTATTATTTATTATTATTATTTTTTTTTTTTTTGAGACAGGGTCTCCCTGTAGCCCCAGCTGGCCTGGAACTCACCATGTAGACCAGGCAGGCAAATTCTCAGAGATCTGTCTGCCTCTGCCTCCCAAGTGCTGGGATCACAGGTGTGTGCCACCACGCTTTTATTTATATTTTTATTTTTTATGTGTGTAAGTACTTTGCCTCCATGTATGTAAGTGCACCCATGTCATGCAATGCCTGCAGATGTCAGAAGAGGGCATCAGATCCCCTGGAACTGGAGTTATAAATGACTGTTAGCCACCATACGGGTGCTGGGAATTGAACCCAGGTCCTCTTCAAGAGCAGCCAGTGCTCTTAACCACTATTTATATTTTTATTTTTTATGTGTGTAAGTACTTTGCCTCCATGTATGTAAGTGCACCCATGTCATGCAATGCCTGCAGATGTCAGAAGAGGGCATCAGATCCCCTGGAACTGGAGTTATAAATGACTGTTAGCCACCATACGGGTGCTGGGAATTGAACCCAGGTCCTCTTCAAGAGCAGCCAGTGCTCTTAACCACTGAGCCATTTCTCCTTTTTAAACAGAGTCTCATATAGTCCAGGCTGACCTCAAACTCACCATGTAGCTGAAGATCTTGAACTTCTGTTCCTCCTGCTTCTGCCTCTGGAGTGTTGGGATTACAGGCATAAACCACTGCTCCCTGTTTTATATGGTGCTGGGGATTGAACTCAGGGCCTTATGCTTGCTATGCAAGCATTTTACGAACTGAACTATATATCCTCAGTGCCATAGATTGCTTTTATAAGCAGAAAATGTGTGTGTTGAAGCTGTATTCACAGAGGGCTGTGTGTTCATCCCACCTCTCCCCCAAGGCCTGGGGATACAGCAAAGTAAATGTCAGACTGGCCTGTCTTGGCCAGAAAGAACCCTGGGGTCTGACTGGTAGAGCTGGACAAACACAAACTGTGATGAAGGAGGTAGCTACGTCAAGAAGTAATGGGCAGGGTGTGCAGGTACCTGGGACCAGGGCATGGATGTTATACAACCTAACAGTCCTTTGAGAGTTCAGACCATGGCAAGGTGCCTGTCAGTCTAGGTGGTTCAAACCCTCATGAAGGCATGAGGATGCTGTGACCCTGAGGACAGCATTGCCTCAACCAAGATCCAGGTATGAGACATACAGGTGAACTCAGATGTGAAAGGCTGCTTTTTAGAATCTAAATCTGGGGGCTGGAGAGATGGCTAAGTAGTTAAGAGCACTTACTGCTCTTGCAGAGGACCCATTCCCAGCATCCACACGGTAGCTCACTGCTGTCTATAATTACAGCTCCACGGGACCGGGATGTCTTCTTCTGGCCTACGTGGGTGCCTGCATGCATGTGGCATACATAAACTCATGCAGACACACATACCTACATGTAAAAATAATAAATAAATCTAGATCTAAGTGGTTCCGTACAGCAGCCACTGCTAACAAGTAGCACTGAGTACTTAAAGCATCATTTGTCAGGGGGTGGGATGTACTACACATTTGATTATGTGTCTGTTGTTATTGGGTTTTGAGATCAAGTCTCATGTAGCCTAGCTTGGCCTGAGCTTGCTATGTAGCCAAGGATGGCCTATTGAGTTCCTAATCTTCCTACTAACACCACCCAAATGTTGGGATTACAGGGGTGGTACCACCATGCCTGGCTCTGTTTTTGTGGTGTTAGGAAATGAACCTAAGGTCTAGTGCGTGCCAGGTAAGCACTGAACTACTGAGGTATACCCTAACCATTTATTTATTTTTACTTTTGGTTTAGCCCAGGCTGGCCTGGAAGTCAACATGTAGGTAAGGCTCTCCTTGAACTCCTGATCCTCCTGCTTTCCCCTCCCAAATACTAGGATTATAGCATTTGCCACCACATTGGTCATTTTCTTTTTCTTATCTTTTAAAAAAATTACATTTCCTGGGCGTGGTAGTGCACACCTTTAATCCCAGCACTCGGTAGGCAAAGGCAGGCAGATCTCTGTGAGTTCAAGGCCAGCCTGGTCTACATAGTGAGTTCCAGGAGAGCCGGGGATACAGGGAGACCCTGCCTCAAAAAGACCAGATAAATAAATAAATAAATAAATTACAGTTTTTTAGTGTGTGTGCGCGTGCGCATGTGTGTGTGTGTGTTCACGTGCGTGCATGCATGTGTGTGTGTGTGTGTGTGTGTGTGTGTATGTGTGTGTGAGACAACACAGTTGTGGCGATCAGAACACAATTTGAGGAAGTCAGTTCTTTCCTTCCATCATGTAGGTCCCAGGGATTGAACTCAGGTCATCAGGCTTGGCAGCAAACACCTTTACCCACTGAGCCAT